ATGGACATGATCGGCCAACGACTGTACACTGGCAGGACTGGCTGGGACATAGCACCAAGCTTCCCCACTTGGCACCCTCGCCACCCATTGTCATGGAAGATATTCCAACACCCCGCACTTGTTTACGTAAAATCTAGGCATGCGTTGTTTCGCATTGTCGGCCAGTTAGTGTGAAGGCACGTCATTGCAATGTCCACCCTGGTCTTTGCCCGCACGCTCTACAAGTCCGCGAGAGAATATGCGGACAACAAGATGCCAGGTGCTTAGCATGACTCCTTCGGTTGATGATATAAATCCTGCATTACCTTAAGGACCCTAAACTATGGGAATTATGGTATATTCCTCGTTATGGGTCATGCAGGATTTATATCATCAACCGTTGCGCTGCGCTTCCAGTACTTGTGTTTGTCTGCGCTCTTGTTGAGGTAGTAGTTTCAAGCCTGGTTTGTTTGTGTCATTCTGCTGTACATGCGACAAACTTTGCCCCACATGTTTTTTGTGCATGATGTTTTCAGCGAGAATTGTTATATCTGCAGGGGGACGGAGGGGGTGCAGAGGAGCTCCGTCCAACGAAGCTCTCCCCTGCACCCTAGGAAAACGTACCTGCTTTGCCTGCGCCTGGGCCCCGTCGTGGGCAGCTGGCGGGGCACTCATGCCGCAATCTGTTTGAGCATATCCATGAGAGCCTCTGCACTGGACGATCATGCACTCAATTAGCGACTTTATGTCGCCCTCGACATCAAGAAGGCGGGTCAGTAGGAGACATTCCAATTGTGTTCGACAAGAGCTCCCTCATGAGGGCCTTGTCGCATTTCGGCGAAGTTGCCGGCCCACCGGGGTGCTTGTGTTAGCAGGTCTGGAAATCAGGTAGGATGGCGACAGCTTTTGCTGCGCAAACATGTCCAAGGGGAAATCATTGTGTGGAGATCAGCCTTTTGGAAATCACAGTGGAGATCATAGTGGAAATCACAGTGGAGATCATTTGTACAAAGCTGCCATGGATCGTGAACGATGTAGGCAGTCCATGTAATTCCGAGGCTCTAGTGTCCCCATGTGGAGGTTTCCCTCTCAGTCGAACCTTGATCTGTGGATGTTGCAGATGAAGATCTATTCCGCCACCAGAACAGACAGTGGTGAGACAGTCTGTGACGTCAGACTCCCACGAGCCCTCCCTCTGTGTATTCACATCCACGAAAACTTGGTGGTGGAGGCCCAGTACAACAGAAGCTGGGAAAGTCCGAAGTCGAAGTGGGTGGATTGTCTTTGTGCTGCTTCACTGCTGATTCCAGCTGATGAGGCGGAATTGCATGCCCCAGCACATGCTGCGCTACGGCATTCAGGCAATTCTAAAAACAACTGTGGTCGAAGTTTGTAGTTCTGTAAGCGCAAATGATGTGCAATGGACGTGCAAGTGATGTGCAAGGGAGGTGCAAGTGACGTGCAAGTGACGTGCAGCTTATACGGCAGGCCAGTTTGGTCGTACGGCACAGCAATCATGCTCAACGGGGGTCCGCTCAAAGAGTTCAGCCAAGTTGAAGCGCAGTAGGCTGTCCCTGCAACTCCGAGGCTCAGTGTCCCCAGGGTGAGGTTCCTTTTTGTCGTCTTGCCTGTAGGCCGTCCACGTAATTCCGAGGCTCTAGTGTCCCCATGCTGAGGTTTCCCTATCAGTCGAACCTTGATCTGTGGACGTTATACAGATGAAGATCTATTCCACCACAAGAACAGACAGTGGTGGAACAGTCTGTGGACCAGCGTTATTATTTATTGAAGCGTTCAATTCATGCAATGGACGTGCAAGTGATGTGCAACGGAGGTGCAAGTGACGTACAAGTGACGTGCAGCTTATACGGCAGGCCAGTTTGGTCGTACGGCACAGCAATCATGCTCAACGGGGGTCCGCTCAAAGAGTTCAGCCAAGTTGAAGCGCAGTAGGCTGTCCCTGCAACTCCGAGGCTCAGTGTCCCCAGGGTGAGGTTCCTTTTTGTCGTCTTGCCTGTAGGCCGTCCACGTAATTCCGAGGCTCTAGTGTCCCCATGCTGAGGTTTCCCTATCAGTCGAACCTTGATCTGTGGACGTTATGCAGATGAAGATCTATTCCACCCCAAGAACAGACAGTGGTGGAACAACCTGTGGACCAGCGAGGTTTCCCTATCAGTCGAACCTTGATCTGTGGACGTTATACAGATGAAGATCTATTCCACCACAAGAACAGACAGTGGTGGAACAGTCTGTGGACCAGCGTTGTTATTTATTGAAGCGTTCAATTCAGTCGCGGAGGCCCAGTGAGTTGATTCCACACCGACGCCTGGACTATCTCAGATGCCATTTCGGTGGTGCAGTATGACCGAGTTGAAGCGCAGTAGGCTGTCCCTGTAACTCCGAGGCTTAGTGTCCCCAGGTTGAGGTTTCCTTTCAGTCGTCTTGCTTGTAGGCTGTCCACGCAATTCCGAGGCTCTAGTGTCCCCATGTTGAGGTTTCCCTCTCAGTCGAACCTTGATCTGTGGATGTTACAGATGAAGATCTTTTCCGCAAGTGATGTGCAATGGACGTGCAAGTGATGTGCAAGGGAGGTGCAAGTGACGTGCAAGTGACGTGCAGCTTATGCGGCAGGCCAGTTTGGTCGTGCAGTATGAAACGGCACGGCAATCATGCTCAACGGGTGCCCGCTCAAAGAGTTCAGCCAAGTTGAAGCGCAGTAGGCTGTCCCTGTAACTCCGAGGCTTAGTGTCCCCAGGGTGAGGTTCCTTTTTGTCGTCTTGCCTGTAGGCAGTCCACGTAATTCCGAGGCTCTAGTGTCCCCATGTTGAGGTTTCCTTATCAGTCGAACCTTGATCTGTGGACGTTATACAGATGAAGATCTATTCCACCACAAGAACAGACATTGGTGGAACAACCTGTGGTCCAGCGTTATTATTTATTTATTGAAGCGTTCAATTCAGTCGCGGAGGCAAGGCCCAGTGAGTTGATTCCACACCGACACCTGGACTATCTCAGATGCCATTTTGGTGGTGCAGTATGACCGAGTTGAAGCGCAGTAGGCTGTCCCTGTAACTCCGAGGCTTAGTGTCCCCAGGTTGAGGTTTCCTTTCAGTCGTCTTGCCTGTAGGCCGTCCACGTAATTCCGAGGCTCTAGTGTCCCCATGTTGAAGTTGCCTTCTCAGTCGAACCTTGATCTGTGGATGTTACAGATGAAGATCTATTCCGCCGCAGGAACAGACAGGGGTGAAGGAAGTTCATAGTCCATGAACCAGCTTCATCATCTATTGAAGCGTCCAAGTTCAGACGCCAGCTTGATGGAGCAGCATGAGACGGTACAGTGACAGTGGCCCCCCTGGGGCCTGTTTGTGTCATTCTGCTGTACATGCGACAAACTTTGCCCCACATGTTTTTTGTGCATGATGTTTTCAGCGAGAATTGTATATCTGCAGGGGGACGGAGGGGGTGCAGAGGAGCTCCGTCCAACGAAGCTATCCCCTGCACCCTAGGAAAACGTACCTGCTTTGCCTGCGCCTTTGCCCCGTCGTGGGCAGCTGGCGGGGCACTCATGCCGCAATCTGTTTGAGCATATCCATGAGAGCCTCTGCACTGGACGATCATGCACTCAATTAGCGACTTTATGTCGCCCTCCACATCAAGAAGGCGGGTCAGTAGGAGACATTCCAATTGTGCTCTTGTTGGAGGAGTAGTGGTAGTTTAGAGGTTGAACTGAATAACCCAGGCACCTTTTTGAGAGCCCTCTGAAGAACTCTATTCTCATTATTGACCTCAAGCCTTAAACCCTAATCCCTATTCTCATTATTGAGGTCCCTGAAGTAGCCTTGCGAGGTGTTGGTCTCCGCAGGGCGGCATGCCACTGAGCTCCGTGCCGCAGTTGGCAGCACTGTATTTGGAGACGGACAAGGCCATTGTGCGGGGTTTTACTGTCGGTCTTACTGTTGATAATATCAACCCTTCATATTAACGTAAGGACCCTAAACTATGGGAATAATCATACATTCCTAATCAAAAGGAATACAAACTCTATATCATCAGCCGCATAACAAAGGTTCTTATAAGATTTACAATCATTTTTTCCAAGAAGGGTTTCTACGAGGCCCTGGTGGTTTACAGGGTGTTATGGGCGTTACGATGGGATCGTGTTCTTGGTGAGGGTTCACGGTTGAGGGTTTGGGGGCCTTGTGGTTACTGGCATAAGGAGTTTGGGGTTCAGGGTTTGAGGCTACAGGGGCTCGATAATCTACAAGGCCTCAAAGGAGCTAGGGGGTCAGGAATTAGGGCCGGGGCTTGAGCTTAGGGCCATGGAGATTGGTTTAGGATTGAGGCTTAGAGTTTAGGGTTTCGGGGCTGAGGGTTCAGGCCCAAACCCCCGAACCCTAATCTTATCCGCTAAACGTTTGGCCTTCTCATATGCAACCGCCCTGATCGAACCTGTATGCGAGCTCTATACGGTTGATGATCTAAATCCTGCATTACCCAGAATAAGGAATGTACCAGAAATTCCCGTAGTTTAGGGTCCTTAAGGTAATGCAGGATTGATATCATCAACCGTAGAACTCCGAGCGGAGGTGAAAGAGGCCGACGGTCAGCCCTAAGCACCCAAACTAACACCTAAGGCCTAAACCGTAGACCCAAACGGTTTAGGGTCTAGGGTTTAGGGACCCTAAACCCTAAACCCAAGGCATCAGCCTGAACCCCCGCAAGCGGTCAAGACAAGCCCCCCCTTTTTGAAGATGCCTGAGCGGTTTAGGGTGTACCTTAACCTACCAAACCCTACAAGAATGTCGGTCCCTAGAAATTCCATATTAAGGTTCATAGTAAGAACCTACAAAAAAGTAGGGTTTGGTAGGCTCAGGCAGGGGTCTGGCACCATGGAGCTTCAACGATCCTTCTCTCGCTGCCTACCTTGACAACCTCACGCCAAGTCCAAGGTTCTTGGGTTGAGAAACCTGTTGAAGACCAGAACCCTTGCGCCGTACTCGATGCAGAGCTTCAGCACTCAAATATGAACCCTAAGCCCTAAACCTCAAAGCCTTAAACCTCAAACCCTACATCCCCAAAGTTGAAACCCTCAAAGCGTTGAAAACTAACCCCTGAACCGTAAACCCTAACTTCCAAAGCTTTAAACCCTCAAAGCCTTAAGCCCTAACCCCTAAATTCCAAAGCATTCTCAAACCCAAAACCCTAAACCCTAAACCCCTAAACCCTAAACCCCAAACCCGAAGCCCTAAATCCACCAACCAGGATCTCGGCCGGATCGAGGCGAGCTTCGGCTTGGGGTTTATGGTCCAGGGTTCAAGGTTCGGGGTTCGGGGGTTTAGGGTTTAGGGCTTAGGGGGTTTAGGGTTTAGGGTTTAGGGTTTAGGGCTTAGGGGGTTTAGGGTTTAGGGTATAGGGTCTAGGGTTTAGGGCTTAGGGGGTTTAGGGTTTAGGGGTTTTGGGGCTTCGTGGGGTTAGAGCTACTAGGACCTAGAGTAGGCCCTTATTCCCTTTTTTAGGGTTCAGGTTCCCTTATAAGCCCCTTTAAACCAAAAAGGGCACCCTTTTTATTCCTAGGTTACTCTTGGGTCTAGGCTAGGGGGTCCTGCAGTTCAGGGGAGTGGTGTTGAAGTTTGCAGGTCTCAGGGGTATAGGGCCGCTGAGGGTCGAACTTTGCGTCCGAGAGGCTTCAGGGTTCCAGGGGGTTTGGGTTCAGGCCCTAAACCCTAAACCCTAAACCCTAAACCGTCGGCTTGGGGAGTTCGTTTTGCATACAACCCTATAGTAAGCATATTCTAGAACTCTATAGGAACCTTGAAAGGGTACCCTAAAACTATAGCCCTTAGAAGGGACCCGATTATGCATTATTTGCTTGTTGGTGCGTGGCTTTTAACACTTTGAAGAAGGGTGGTTTCTCCGAGGCGCTGCAGGCGGGGAGTCATTCGGCAGGCCTTCCTCCCAACGCGAACAATGCCCAATTCCTAACACCTGAACCCAAAAGCCGTGAGCCCCTCGGCATCAATTCCTGGCTGGCGCCAACTAAAGACTACCGCATCAACAACTCCCTGAAAGTATAAAACCTTATAGCTCAAAACCCCCTGAATCCACACAGAAATTTAGGCTCTAACACCCTAAACCCCTTAAGCCCTAAGGCCGGATCCCCACCCCCCTAAGCCTAAACCGTAGCTAGTTCATGTTTTGATCTGCAGCTGTTGTGCCCGGGATCGCCGCGGCGCTGGCAGCGCATGGCCTTTGCATGTCTCATGCCATTGTGCCGAGCCTAAGCCACAGAACTTCCCGTACTTTGGGAACAATTAGACTTACTATTCACATATAGTCCCTATGTAAGCCTAGTAGAAGATACCCCAGGGTCAGAGGTGTAGCTCAGTTGAAGTGTGTCTAGTTTGAGTTTTGCAGCTTAGTGATTAGATTGGTGCATCTCGACTCGAAGGCCGACCTCCAAAACTCTAAACCCTAAACCTATTCTATTTCATTATACTATAACTATGTTATATATATATATATATATATATGCATACTATTCCTACTATATGGCATATTTGAAAGCGTTAAAGCCCTCAACCCGAACAGGACAAAAGCGGTTCCCTGAGCCCGAAAGCTCTAGTTTGGAAGCTTGACTTTCGATCCGAATCATGGCATTATGATGATACCAAAAAGTACCCCAAAGCCCTAGTCTAACTATTCCTACACGGCGTTTCCCTGCTTGTGATTTTGTTTTGGATGACTTCGGGTCCTTTCCTTATCCTTTACTTGTTACATCACCGAGAAGCTAGGGTTTAGGGTTTCGGGTTGGTCATGCTGGTGTGACTGCACGCCGGGCACATGCCGCAGCCCTTCATCTCAGCGCAGTGTGGGCTGTCCGCGCCCCAGGAAGCTCTAGCCCTAAACGTCGAAGTCTCTAACCCCATACCCTAGACCCTACTGCAGCACAGACACGCAAAACTGCAAAACCTAAGCCCTACACCCTACAGTAGAAGCCAGAAAGTTGGAATATCATTATCATACTCCCTTAAAGGTAAATTATAGGGTATCCTACCATGAAACCATATTCCAACTTTCTGGAGTTCCCTGTAAAGCCAAAGAGCCCTTCAAAGTTAAAGCACCGGAGTCGGCCAAGCTTGAAGCCGCACGATACGGTTTAGTGCGGTGTTGTACGTAGGGGTTTGGGACCTTGCTAAGTATTAGCAGTGGCACACCTTGCAACCCCCTGTGTCGTTGTGCTATACTTTCCCAAAACATGCCCAAACCCAGCTCTAATTATTCAGGTGTCCCAGTAGGTGAGGCACGAAAAGTGACGAGCCGACAACATGCATAGAGTACTTGGACGAAAGGGTATAAGAATGATAACCCTAAACACTAAACCCTAAACCCCTAAACCCTTAAACCCTAAACGCTAAACCCTAAACCCCCAAACCCTAAACCATAAACCCCAAAAGCCTAAAGCCACCAGTGGAATCTAAAAGAGTTTTTATATCTCCAAGTCTTCATCAGCGATGGAGCGATTGTGAGGTACCACTGCGTATGCGTCCTGGACCCTCAGGCAGTCTGTGTTCGGGGGGGCTCAGGAGTCGCGCCTCAGCGGTTTTTAACTTGCTTGGGGAGCGATAGGGCCCTAAACCCGCGAACAACCTGTAAACCATCCTGTACCTCTGGACCCTTGAAGTCCTAAACCCGTAAGGCCCTAGACCCCCTGACCCCTAAACGCTAAATTCCTAAACCTGGGATCCGGATTCGTTTCCTTCTAATCTTCCAGGAGTCTTACAAGGGAAGGATCCGGTCTAGGATTTTGCTGTAACTCATGGCCTCTTCATACAAGATCAGCTCGTCACAGTTAGTCAGCCCTATCAGAGATTCAGTTGGGGTGTGTTTGTGCGGAGTGGCGTGGAGAAGCTTTCTGGCGAGGCGTTAGCCTCAAGGATCAGCGGGAACATGATTCCCGAAAGACATCCGGCACAACTTTAGTGCGATTTGTGCGAGAAAGCTCTTTTCGATTGCACGAAGCTTTTTTCGAGACTCGCTTGACGCTTCGTTTCCGAAGGCACTTCCCACTCTCTTGTGTGTTGTTTGCCTCCAGACCTACCTTACCTTACCACTGCCACAACCACTGCCTCGACCACTGCCACTTCTTGTGCTGCTGCTGCTGCTGCTGCTGCTGCTGGGTTCTGGGCTTTGTGTTCACGGCTTTGGGATGTTGTTTTCGTTCTCTGGGTCCGGGGTCCTGGAATTTGGGGATGCGGCTGTTTTTTTTCATATGGCAGGGCGAGAGTGAGTGGGAGAGTCGAGGTTTGCTCGTCACAGTTAGTCAGCCCTATCAGAGATTCAGTTGGGATGTGTCTGTGCGGAGTGGCGTGGAGAAGCTTTCTGGCGAGGCCTTAGCCTCAAGGATCAGCGGGAACATGATTCCCGAAAGACATCCGGCACAACTTTAGTGCGATTTGTGCGAGAAAGCTCTTTTCGATTGCACGAAGCTTTTTTCGAGACTCGCTTGACGCTTCGTTTCCGAAGGCACTTCCCACTCTCTTGTGTGTTGTTTGCCTCCAGACCTACCTTACCTTACCACTGCCACAACCACTGCCTCGACCACTGCCACTTCTTGTGCTGCTGCTGCTGCTGCTGCTGCTGGGTTCTGGGCTTTGTGTTCACGGCTTTGGGATGTTGTTTTCGTTCTCTGGGTCCGGGGTCCTGGAATTTGGGGATGCGGCTGTTTTTTTTCATATGGCAGGGCGAGAGTGAGTGGGAGAGTCGAGGTTTGCTCGTCACAGTTAGTCAGCCCTATCAGAGATTCAGTTGGGATGTGTCTGTGCGGAGTGGCGTGGAGAAGCTTTCTGGCGAGGCCTTAGCCTCAAGGATCAGCGGGAACATGATTCCCGAAAGACATCCGGCACAACTTTAGTGCGATTTGTGCGAGAAAGCTCTTTTAGATTGCACGAAGCTTTTTTCGAGACTCGCTTGACGCTTCGTTTCCGAAGGCACTTCCCACTCTCTTGTGTGTTGTTTGCCTCCAGACCTACCTTACCTTACCACTGCCACAACCACTGCCACGACCACTGCCACTTCTTGTGCTGCTGCTGCTGCTGGGTTCTGGGCTTTGTGTTCACGGCTTTGGGATGTTGTTTTCGTTCTCTGGGTCCGGGGTCCTGGAATTTGGGGATGCGGCTGTTTTTTTTTTCATATGGCAGGGCGAGAGTGAGTGGGAGAGTCGAGGTTTGCTTTTGAGGGTTGGCGGTTTTCTTGGTTTTCGTGGATCCTTTCCTGTTTAAACGGGAACCTCGGAGACAAAGAACAAACTGAAATAGATATTATGGAGGCATCGGAATAATGAGTGATCGTATTCCCCAGGGCTTCCCACTTTCATCCTAGTAGTAGAGTAGGGAACCTTCAACTTTTTTTGGGTAGCAGAGCCCCTATATAATCCCTAAAAGGTTAACCTTTAGTACCCCATGATACCCGACAAGTAGGTAATGATATGGTATGCCCCAAGTTCTATTCTGTTAGGTTTGCCAAATTCCTTCGAAGGGGGTTTCATGAAGCAGGGGGTCTGCGCTACATGAAGTCTGAAGCCTTTGCCACCCAAAGCATCGAAGAGGTCCTAGACCCTAAACCTAAACCCTAAGGGTTTAACTCTAAAGCCCAAGCCCTAACGCTTGAACGCCTCAACCCTACCCATAAGGCTCTTAAACCCCTGCCACCATGGACACGATCTAAACCCTAAACCTCAAATCCTAACCACCTTTTAACTTTAAAGCCTAATCCAAACCCTCAAAGCCTGAGTCCATGGAAAGGATCCATGTACCCAAGTAGTATATACTTTGGGCCCGGTGTATCGATATAGGGAGTACTTCAAGGCCACAGTATATACTACGGTTGATGATGTTTCCCCATAGTTCAGGATCCTTAAGGTAATGCAGGATCCAGTTCATCAGCCCTAAACCCTAAACCCTAAAACTTTACAGATCCCTTAAGGGAACCCCTCTAAGGTACCCTTATCGATCCCTGAAGGGAACCCTAGGATTTATATCATCACCCTAAACCCTAAACCCAAAACCTTCAACAGTATTATGGACAGGATCAGTGTGGAGCTCCAGAGCAGATGAACCCTGCAGCAGCCGAGCCTCTCGTGGCCACTGGGGCCTGTCTTGCTGGGAGGTTCAGGGTTTAGGGTTTAGGGGTTTGGGGGTTTAGGGTTTGGGGTTTGGGGTTTGGGGGTTTAGTGTTCAGGGTTTAGGGTGCAGGGTTTAGTAAGGGGTTTAGGGTTTAGGGTGTTAGGGTTTAGGGGTATAGGTGTTTTGTGGAATCAAGGCGTTGAGGTCGTGAGTTTTAGCCTGTCTGTTCAGGTTATCAGATCTTGCTGGCTTTTACCTTCAAGGTGTGGTGCTTTCTGCCTTCCGCGTTTCAGGTTTACGGGCCCCCAAGTGGCTTAAACCCGAAAAGTGTATAGATCCCTTAAAGGAACCCCTTAAAGGTACCCTTATAGTGGCTTCGGTGGGGTGGGAAGGTTGGGAGGATAACCCTACAGTAGAAGCCAGAAAGTTGGAACATCATTATCCCCATGCCCTTAAAGTAAAGTACAGGGAATCCTAGCGCTAATCATCCTTAAACCATGTTCCAACTTTCTGGGGTTCACTGTAAACCCTAAACGGTAGTGCAGCGCTTCGGGGGCACGTCTTTGGAGACTGGACTCGGCTGCTGGATTCCTGCGGCTTCAAGACTCGTCGGCTTAGAGTGGATGTCGAAAGCCTGGCTCACCGTAGGGGGCTTAAATAATTAGAATAGGGTTTCAGGGGTATGTTTGCCGATAGTTGCAATAAGGAATCCCCGAAATCCGATTCTAAGTATTACGGCCCCTGTCGCATGGGATTTGCCATCAGGTTCTTATAGTTCTTGACGGTGGCTAGCTCGCAACCTATACCATCCACAAGCCTGACACCTGACCTTCCACTGGACGAAAAAGACTCAACAACCCCCGAAGCCTCAACTGAATCCTGAACCCTAGAAGACCTCAAAGCCCAAACTGGAACCTAAACTCCTACATCGGAGTTTCCGAAATTGAGGGTTACCTAATTTTCGGGCCTTTATAATAAGCATCCTACTATCTAGGGTACCATATTAGGAGCCCCTTTTTTCGGAAACTCCCATCTAACCCCAACGCCGCAAGCCTACTCCACGGTTGGACCAGGATGCCCTGCCCTCCGACACGCTCGCCAAGCCCAAGCCCGCGATGGCGGCGCAGGAGGGGACTGGCTACCGATCACGGGCCAGCCTGGAGAACTTATCTGGGTAGTTGTCAAAATTAAGGTCCCTTTCTGGGTACCCTAAAAATTAGGTGCTGTACTATATTAAGGACCCAAAAAGGGACCCTAATATTGACAACCACCCATTTAGTGTCGGGAAAAGGACGGGTAGGTAGAATGGTTACTCTGTGGGCCTGTCAAGGCTACTACAAGGGTTGGTTACCGTAAGGGTTCGGTTGTACCGTTACCGTAAAGGTTTCCATAAGGCATACTGCAAGAACCCTAAAGCCTAAGCCTCAATATGTCAATAAGGGTTTAGGGGTTTAGGGTTTAGAGGTTTAGGGTTTAGGGGTTTAGGGTTTAGGGGTTTAGGGTTTAGGGGGGTTTAGGGTCTAGGGTTAGGGTCTAACAAAAGCCCATACGCGCTAGACTCCAGAAGCCTCTGGAGGACATGGCGCCCATCATGGAAGATGACGAGGCCCTGTGTCCCCGCCAAATGTAAAACATTTTCTTTTGACGGAGGGACTGAAGGTTCGAGGAATCTGGGGTTTGTTTAGGGTTTAGGGTTTAGGGTTTAGGGTTTAGGGTTTAGGGTTTGAAGGTTTCGAGGATTGCTTTGGACTTAGGGTGTTTTTTTTTTTTTTGCGGCAGCTTGACGTGGGATTCCTCATGCAATGCAGACAGGAGAATCAGGTCACGGAACAAGGGCCTGAACACTACAGCCCCGAAATCCTTACGCCATCAAAAAGCTCACAAGGGTAAGGACATAGAGCCCTAAATCACAGGATCTTTGTTAGCAGGACCCGTGAGCGAGGTACCCCTATAGACCCTGAGCCCGGAGCCCTCGGCCTTGAACCCCTAAACTAAATTCCAAGCCCTAAACCCTTAACACTAAACCCTACACCGAAACCCTGAACCTAAGCGCTCAACCCTAAACCCGAAACTTAGGGGCACTTAGAAATAATGTTTGATTTTTGGTTATCATAATCTCTAAGAAACAGCTAAAATTAAGATTTTTGCTAGGGTTCTAGGTTCAGTATAGGAAACCCTAATCCCAAACGCAAGCGCCCTCTACAAGAAGGCAGTCGAGGCCGAAACAGAGGAGAGCGCCCACGCAGGCCGGGTCGCACTCTCTGAGCCTTTGGGCAGGGCTCCGGGTTTAGGGTTTAGGGTTTCGGGGTTTAGGGTTCCGGGCTTGGGCCTGATTAGTCAATGAACCTCTGCTTTTAAGGGCCCTAGTATGACGACCTCAAACCCCCTTACAATCAGGGCAGGTACTTTTTTCATCAGGTTTACACTAGTGTGATCTTGGCGGGTTCTTCCTCGAGGATCCTTCAAAGAGACCCGCCATTTGGAGCAGGCTCCACCTCGACCGGGTGATATCTTCGTGAATGCCTAGAGTTGTGTTGCAAATGCGTGAGCTCACATCTAGGTTGCAGCTTCATTCACCTGATGGTCTGGCACACCCCCAGAGCCCTGCATGTTGGTTATTGATGGGTTGGGGTTCCTTGTTCATCGAGCCTTGACTTGTTCATGAAGTAGGGAAGTTCAGAGAAACCGAAACTCTGTTACAAGGGAACTCCAGAAAGTTGGAATATGGTTTCATGGTAGGATCCCCTATAATTTACTTTAAAGGGGTTACGATAATGATATTCCAACTTTCTGGTTCTACTTTAAAGGAAACCCTTCGAAGACTGAAAGGAGCCCCGTCGGGGAACCTTTTTATGCACCCTTCAACTGAGCCCTTTAGTTTGAACTGAACGTTTTTTTCGAATCATTGCAAACCCCAAACCCTACACCCCAAACCCTAACTCCAAACCCCAAACCCTGAACCCTAAACCCCGAACCCTGAAACCCTAAAGCCCGAAGCCTTGCATGGACCCCCAAAGCTGGGTTCTTGCTAAAGGATTTAACTTAAGTTGCCATAATAAGGTTACTTGCTATAAATTCCTATCATGGTAACTTAAACTAAGTTTCTTAACAAGAACCCAGAGAAAGAAGCTTTATAGAACCCTTCTTAGAGAACCCGTTAAGGAGCCTTTAACCCCCAAAAAGAAGCCCTAAACCCTAAACCCAAATCCCCCAGAAAAAGAGGCCCAGGCTTATAGAACCTTTTGAGGAGCCTTTATAGAGCGCTTTAACCACCAAAAAAAGATAACCCTAAACCCTAAACCCTAAACCCCTAAACCCTAAACCCCTAAACCCTAAACCCTAAACCCTAAACCCTAAACCCTAAATCCTAAACGCTAAACCCTAAGTCCAGGCCTCCTGCAAACCGGGGGCTCCAGCTCCTCAGCCGCGCCTCCCCGCCCCGCAGCGCCCGTGCCGCGCCTGCCCGGCCGGGTGTGGTCGCACCGGCGGGTTTAGGGTTTGGGGGTTTGGGGGTTTGGGGGTTTGGGGTTTAGGGTTTAGGGTTTAGGGTTTGGGGTTTGGGGGTTTGAGGTTTAGGGGTTGGCTTGAAGAAAAGGGTCGACAGGGTGTTTGGTCGGAAAGGTGAGCAATGCTATCCCTTTGTTCTTTGTTAGGAGGGATAATCCCCAAAACTCCATTCTATTCTAAACCTTAAACCCCAAACCCTATGAATTTGGTGCTGAGACCCGCAGGTGATCAGTTTGAACTGAGTGAGGGCTCATGTTTTCTCTGCTGGATACTCGCTGAATGGGCGACTACAGCAACTGTGTAGGCCGAGTGTTGGCAGACGTAAAAGTCACTACACATTAAAAAAAAACCCCTATGAATTCCCGCGCTCTTTTTTGGCTGCCATGCAGTTGTCTATAAGGGAAAGGGAGCTTGAGGTTCAGGATTTTCTTGCGGGTTTTGGTGGCTTAGAGTTTGGGTTTAGAGTGTTTTAGGTATACGTTTGTCTGTGGTAGAGTGTGTAGGTTTGCACTTAGTATCACAGAACCTAGTATGAAATCATTGCAAAAGCAAGCACAGAACCCAACAACGCCCTAAACCCTAACACCCTAAAGCCCTAAACCCTAAACCCTAAAACCCTAAGCCCTGAAGCAGACCCAAGGAAGAGGCTAATTCCGATCATGTTGCCAGGCCTTGGCCACCTGTGCCAGTGCCCCGGGAGTGCGCAGGCCCCGGGTTTAGGGTTTAGGGGTTCAAGGGTTAAGGGTTGAGGGATTTGGGGGTTTAGGGTTAAGGGTTGAGGGATTTAGGGGTTTAGGGGTTGAGGGGGCTTAGGCTTTCGTGGTGAGGCTTTAGGGTTTGGGTTGGTGGTTTTTAGGGTTTAGGGGCCCGAATCTGATGGTCCCCCTTGTAATGCATGTTCAGTCTCTAAAGGGCCGACTTAAGAGGCAACACCAGCCACGAAACTTCGCAGGTGCTCGCCGGCAGCATGCGCGCGATGCCTTCAATGTGCAGGCTGTGCTGATTGAAAAACCCAGAGCCTCCAAAACCCCTAAAAACCCCCAAAAGCACCAAATACTAAAACGCCATAGCCTTGGAACCGAAGCAAAATCCTTGGCTTTGAGAGCGTACGTTTGTTTGCTTCAGTGTTTGGAATCCCTGTTATGAGCAAGGTGTCCTAGATAGGCTTGAAGAAGGCCTTCTAGAGCACTAGCTCGATGATCCTTAAGCCCTAAACCCTATACCCTAAATCCTAAATCCTAAACCCGGAGCCCTACATCCTATACCCTTAAAAGTCACTTCAATTTAAGAAAAATCCTAAATGCTAAACGTTGGATTTGCAGGAACTCATCTTCGGCGACGCCTTGGCCCAGCGGGACTTCAGTGACCCTGCTGTCGAAGGCGCCGGCCCGTTCTGCTGCTAGTTGCCGTCGACATTGTGAGTTCGGGGGTTTGGGTATAGCCCAAGACCCCAATCTCAAAACCCTGAAAAGTTATAAGTTCCAAATACCAAGCCATAAAACCCCAAAACCTGTACTCACAAGCCTAAACCCTGAACCCTAAGCCCTAAATCCGAAATCCCCAAATCCCCAAACCTCCAAGCCCCGAAACCCCAAACCCCGAAGTCCCCAAACCCCTATACGCACAAGCCTAAACCCCGAACCCTAAGCCCGAGATCCCGCAAGCCTGCCTCCAGAGCCCTGGTAGCACTGTTTAGGGTTTGGGGTTTAAGGTTTAGGGGCCTAGGGTTTAGGGGTCTAGGGTGTAGGGTTTAGGGGTCTAGGGTGTAGGGTTTAGGGGTATAGTATTTAGGGGTTTAAGGGGTTGGGAGGGTTCAGGGTTTAGGGGCTGAGGGGTTTATGCGTAGGTTAGGATTCAGGGTTTAGGGTGCTGAAATGTGAGTTCCAAACCCAGCAGCCAGGAAAGTCTGCAATGGAAATAAACAGCAGACTCAGTCCAAAATCTAAACCGCAAATTCCCAAAACCCTGAACCCTTAAACCCTAAACCTTGAACCCATCAGGGTTTTTGACTCTTCTCCTAAATCAGGAGGTCTTTAAGTGACGAGTCTGAGAGGCTTGCCCGATCAGACTGTGGCGAGACGCGAACTGCTAAATGGGATGTCTTGAAAACACAGGGGCTCCTTATCCAACTGGGTTTAGGTTCTAGGCTGCTTCAGTGTCTAGGTCTGGGGTTGTGCTAGGGTTCGTGTCAGAGTCCCCTATTTCAAAACCTTCCGAAGCCCCAACAGCCCGAAGCCTAAACCCTTGAGCCCAATGCTGCAGCCGTCAAGACGCCTCGCCCCTGAAGAGTGCCCGTCTTCGAAGCCGACGCTCGAAACCAAACAGGTTTAGGGTTTAGGGTTTAGAGTTTAGGGCTCTCGCTCTCGCTCTCTCAACTTGTCTACCTAAGCCTCGAAAAAGCCTTTAATCTGCAGCCCCAAGCTCCCAGGTTCCAGAGTAGTACCGTTTTGCCCTTCTTATTTTGGACTCTCCTTATTACAAAAAATTAGGAAAACCCTAAACCCTAAACCCCTAAACCCCTAAACCCTAAACCCTAAACCCTAAACCCTAAACCCTAAACCCTCCTCTTCGGTATTATTTTACGGGGGGTGCTGGAGCACCTAAGCTCGAAAGAACCCTCGCAGCGCCCCTATACAGCCTGTCCCAGACATCAGCCAGCTGCAGAATGACGAGGCCCTACGACTCTGTGGGGTTTAGGGTTAAGGGTTTTAGGGTTTAGGATTTAGGGTTTATGGGTTTAGGGTTTAGAGTTTAAGGTTTAGGGTTTAGGATTTAGGGTTTATGGGTTTAGGGTTTAGGGCTTAGGGTTTAGGGTTTCGGGGTTAGAGTTCAGGGTTGCGGGGTTCAGGGTTGGCGCCTGAGTAGCTTGTAAGAGGACTCTTCCAGGGGTTTTCGGATGTCGGCGTACTGTAAAGCCCGGGAGCCCAGTTTGATGATTAAGTCCGCGGTCTGCAGGGTTCAGAGGGTTCCGCTATAAAGGGATCTACAGGGGTAAGGGTTCTGTAAGGGATCTATAGGGTTTAAGGGTTCCGGGAATAATTGAAACCAAGGCTTTCTGTCGCCACACCTGAAGGTATAGGAACCTCAGCAACTGTCGATGAAATTCCCCTAGTAACACTCCCTCTAGGGTTTAGGGCTTAATGTGGGGGCTTGCCTGAATGTTGACCAGCACTGTTCCCCAAATTTCCGCTATACACCGCAGTAAAAGGCCCCTATAGTAGCCTCGTAGCTCTAGTTTCATGGTTTGAGCCGCTACTATGCCCATAGCAGTTCCTTTTGGGGGCTCATATTTAGAATCCCATAAGGTAATCCCGAAAAGGAACTGCTATGGAGCCTCTGGGTAAGCCTTAGGCCCAAGGCCGCCCTCCCCCACCCGGGAGCCTCGCATGGCAAGCCGGCAGCGCAGCAGAAAAAGGCTATACTGCAGCTCCAGCCGTGGGACAGCTCATCGTCGTCCAGGAGCATCTTAAGCACAGAGGCAGCAGCGGCCAAGCTCAAAACACAGTTCCGACTGCGGAAGGTAATGTAGGGGCCTTAATAATTAGACTAGGCTTTTGGGGCCCATTATACGAGAATTATAAGAAGAAACCCCCACAATAGTATTTTAGGCCTCTACAATGTAGTATTCTTTTAGCATCCCTTAAAGGAACCCTCGAAAGGAATCCCCAAAATAGTATAGCTAATTATTTAGGCCCCTATATTACGGGTGGAACAGACCACTGAGCCACGTAGCAACCCAGAGACTCCAATATCCCTTGATTAAGGAAGATCCCTTCAGAAATAGTAGGATCCCTAATATGATTTAAGGAATATTCTACATTGGAGTCCCCTAAACCCTAAACCCTCTAGATCCCTTCTAGGATCCCTTAAAACGAACCCTCGGTATTCCTTAATCAAGGGGATATCGGAGTCTCTGGGAGCCGTGCAGCAAACGACTCGACGGAGGAAGCCGGGCTCGACTCCAGCGCTGTGGTCACATTCAGGCGCAGGGCTAATGTAGGGGCCCAAATAACTACCTATAGTAGTTTGGTGGGGTTCCTTTATAGGATAAAAAATTACATAGACTATTTTGGGGGTTCCTTTATAAGTGTAGTATAACATACCCCAAACCCTTAATACCCCGATATTACTTAGAGGCCCGGGGGACTTAGTAAGTAGGTTATAAATAGGGTTATAAGTATTTTAGATGGAGCTACCCCAATTATAACCCTACTTATAACCTACTTACTAAGTCTCCTGGGCCTCCAATTATGGACGAGCCGCTCAACTTCGAGCGCTCAGGCCGGTGACGCCGGCCACGTCGCAATGTCGACGCGGAAATCCGCTAAAACTCAACAACCAAACCTCCGAAACCCTAAGCTCAAGCCTAAACCTCTAAATCCCAAGCCCTCCACACCGAAACCTAAACCCTAAACCCTAAACCCTGAACCTAAACCGCCCTGAAAGCTAGACCCGAGGCTGCGAAGCTTCTTGGCTGGGGACGTGGCAGCTTCCGTGCGCAGCTGCGTGCAGTGGGGCTCAGCATACTACAAGTGGCCTTAAGAATTAGAAGAGGGTTCCTTCAAAGGGTATCTCAAGGGTTCCTCTAAGGGTTACTATGATGGAGTAGTATAGTGGCCTTGATGATTAGAATAGGGTCTTGGGCCCCATTATACTATAATTGTAACAAGGACCCCCACCATGATATTGGTAATTATTTAGGCCCCTGTATATGTACATATATATATATATATACATACATACACACATAGATAGATATGTATACATATGTATATACATACACATACACACACACACATACATACATGCATACATACATACATGCATACACACATAGCTGAAGAACGTGCAAGTGCACGCACACGGAGACATGTGTGTGTGTATATATATATATATATATATATATACATACACACACATGTCTCCGTGTGCGTGCACTTGCACGTTCTTCAGCTATGTGTGTATGCAT